AAGTACCATTGTTTGGACTGGTATAATTATTGTTGGTGGGAATGCTACAAGTACCATTGTTTGGACTGGTATAATTATTGTTGGTGGGAATGCTACAAGTACCATTGTTTGGACTGCTATAATTATTGTTGGTGGGAATGCTACAAGTGCCCGCCTGAGTGAAGAAGACCCGATAAACATCTCTGGGTACTCGACTGTTTAAGAGTCTTTATTATTTTTTATATTTTAATGTAGAGGTTTTCTTTCTAGGGAAGACATTGTATACAAGCTATAAAAAAAAACTTTTTTCAGGAGTCTGATAACGCATTCTTCTTTCCAATGATGATGTAATTTTGAAGTAAATTAATCTTGTAAGGATGTGACATTTGTAGAATTAGACCCTGACCACGTATATAAGGATGTGATATTTGTAGGATTAGACCCTGACCACGTACATAAGGATGTGATATTTGTAGGATTAGACCCTGACCACGTACACAAGGATGTGATATATGTTGGATTAGACCCTGACCACGTACACAAGGATGTGATATATGTTGGATTAGACCCTGTAGATATAGATGTAATTTGGTAGATGCAGTTTTTTGGTTCTATAAAGTTGAAGCTAAGAAATAAAAAGTCTAGCAGTCAGGTAGAAAGACGATAACGATGAGGCATCTGGAATAGACCCTACACATGATGTAGACTTCCTTGTTAACAGACAACAAGGAAGTCTACATCATGTGTAGGAACAGACAACAAGGAAGTCTACATCATGTGTAGGAACAGACAACAAGGAAGTCTACATCATGTGTAGAAGCAGACAACAAGGAAGTCTACATCATGTGTAGAAGCAGACAACAAAGAAGTATACATCATGTGTAGGAACAGACAACAAGGAAGTCTACATCATATGTAGGAACAGACAACAAGGAAGTCTACATCATGTGTAGGAACAGACAACAAGGAAGTCTAAATCATGTGTAGGAACAGACAACAAGGAAGTCTACATCATATGTAGGAACAGACAACAAGGAAGTCTACATCATGTGTAGGAACAGACAACAAGGAAGTCTAAATCATGTGTAGGAACAGACAACAAAGAAGTCTACTGTTGAACTATAAAAAAGAGAAAAGATACTATTAACCTGTACAACAAAAGGTTAAAGGATACTGTTCACCTGCACAAGAAATAGTTAAAGAACACAGTTGAACTATAGAAATTAAAGCAGTAACGTTCAGAATGAAAACAAGTGTTAGCTTCCAGTAACATGTGCTACAAGGAAATAATCTGCCACATTAGGCTCTATCAGCATCATTTTCTACGATGCGCACGTAATGCACGAGCTCTAATGATTACACTCATTAGTTTCACATTAGAGTACTCACGAACCTTAAGTAAACCGAACCCAAAGACCCTGGATGTTTACGTAGACCGGGATTGTCAGTTTCAAAGCTGTACGGCATTTCTTGAGCGGTTCATCACTCGGAGTTGAAGGTTGATACTTTACCACTCATGTAGGCTTACATGTGAAGGACCGACAAGAAACTATTATTAAAAATCCATATTTAGTTTTAGAAAAAACATTACGTTCAGACTTGTCCTTGTGCGTTTTTCTATCGCGTACGGTAAGAAGAGGCAGACGTACAGGTGAAGAAAAGAAAAAAAAAGAGGCGAACTCTTTCCAGCAAGAACTACAAAGTAGCGCGGTAAGCCTCGTCGGTCTAGAGCTACGAAAGTGTGGGAACAGAGTGTTAATGGAACGTCTGCTTTGTGAGACGCACTGTCAGAGAATACATAATGATAGTGATGTTTTCTCGCCATCGTTTTTAATACAGCAACTAACGTCTTCTTCTGTTGTCAATCCTGTTACAGATCATAAGATTCGTGGATTTCTTTTTATCACTGTTTAAGTTTCTTAGTGTGTATGTAGCTCAGCAGTTATTGCCTGTTACAAACATTCCCGATATACATCGTTTTTAAGATGTTTACTCTGGCGACACTCTTTCTTTCCTACTTCCGTTCCTCGTGTCCACAAGATCATGGTGTGGTCCAGGAAAGTGGACCACACCATTCTCCATCCTTCCATCCTAAAGTTCGTTCTTCGCATCGAAGTTTCCGTAGTTTCATTGACAGGACCTGCAACAGGTATTTATCTAGTTTAACGTCTGTCTGTTAACCATACTTATCAAAATACCTCTCCATTCGTGTCTGTTAACCTACATACTTATCCAAATACCTCTCTATTCGTGTCTGTTAACCTAAATACTTATCAAAATACCTCTCCATTCGTGTCTGTTAACCTACATACTTATCTAAATACCTTTCTACTTGTGTAAGTTGACTTGAATACTTAACCAAATACTTTTCTACTTGTGTAAGTTGACTTGAATACTTAACCAAATACCTTTCTACTTGTGTAAGTTGACTTGAGTACTTAACCAAATACCTTTCTACTTGTGTAAGTTGACTTGAATACTTAACCAAATACCTTTCTACTTGTGTAAGTTGACTTGAATACTTAACCAAATACCTTTCTACTTGTGTAAGTTGACTTGAATACTTAACCAAATATATTTCTACTGTTTATAATGGACACTCACCGTACAACGTAAAGTGTAAACCGTTTTGAGAAGCTCGACGTTTCTTACTTACTTGTATGTTTTACCTTTCCACCACCTTGTGTTTACCCTAGAAAGTGACGTATATTTTGTGAATGTTTTCTCCAACAGAATCTTTAGTTTTGAAGTTTCAGCTTTTATACTTTGACAACGTGAAAATGAAATTAAAACTGTATAAATGTAATGCACAGAAGAGAAACACAAGGAGTTATATATTTAGTTAGTCGTTGTACACTTGAGACACCGGTTCATGAAATGACTGTTTAGTGGTACAGTTAAACCTGGTCTTAGTTTGGTTCATGACTTAACTGTTTATAGATACAGTTAAACCTGGTTTTAGATTAGTTCATGAAATGACTGTTTAGTGCTACAGTTAAACCTGGTCTTAGTTTGGTTCATGACTTGACTGTTTAGTGGTAGAGTTAAACCTGGTTTTAGTTTGGTTCATGACTTGACTGTTTAGTGGTACAGTTAAACCTGGTCTTAGTTTGGTTCATGACTTGACTGTTTAGTGCTACAGTTAAAGTTGATGTTAGTTTGGTTCATGACTTGACTGTTTAGTGGTACAGTTAAACCTGGTGTTAGATTAGTTCATGAAATGACTGTTTA